AACGCCTCAAAACGCTGGAAATGACATTTCAAAAATTTCGCTGCTAGCCCACCCAAACAAATTCACGCTCCGCGGTCCCTGTTCTGTACACAGCTTCGTAGCCCTTTTACAGAGATCTAAAGTATGTATCTGGAAAAAATAAACTCTTCAACCTTAGCCACCTAAAAAAAATCTTTAAAATCTTTCAGTGTATTCATTTTCCAATTYCCCCCTGATTTTCTCGACGGTTGATTTGCCGCGCTTCTACTAATTTATGTGACGTCACCTAAATAGGGCTAAATAGTTGCTAAGTTTTTCACAGTTTTGACTGAAAGCACTCTAGTCTCCTTCATAGATACATAGTATCATTTCATAACAATTACAGTAATTTCACAACGCGAAGTAAAATCTAGAATTAGCTAAATCAACATTTGAATCATCAGAGACATCAGGCAGTACTTACTTCCTAGTAGGGTTTCTTGCAACCATAAGGGCCCTGTACTCATCTCTAGTGACCACAAAAAATTTTCTGGCCGGAGTTTTCCAGTACTCGATTCCTTAATAAAAGGATTTAAGGTTAACTGACGTCTTATTAGCACTGAAATGCTCAATATTTACAGTAATACTACACATGCATAAACCAATCAATAAATCCAAGTAAAGGTGAATGAGTCAGCGGAAAGAAAATCATGTACATAACCGGGACATAAAGGTTGGATATATACGTACCTCTTGTAGCCACGCTGTCGACAATTTCAAACCCACTACTGTCTGTTAAGACCAGCTCGGCATCGATATTAGCCACCTCCTTTGTGATCCTTACAACATCTGCCGTATTGCACGTTTCGCAATTTAAACTTATGTGGTAACTGCCACTAGGACTTAATGTTTTTCCTTGTATAATGCCGCGGAATATTTTTCTAAATAAAAAACGACGAAGAAAAATATAAAMATAATATAATATTATAATAATAATAATAAAATAAAACAGAAAAACGAAATATAATAAGAATTCCTCGGTCCGAGCTCAGTATCTATGATTTCCAACTGTTTAAACAATTGAGAGTTGCACTTTCGCCCTGATCAAAAATTCGTATTTATGCCATCGTTACGATTACAGGATGTAACATTTGTTATAAATAAATGTTGCTGCGTTGTTGTACCTTGGGAGAGGTCGAATACCTACAATTAATAATTGTATTATTGTAGAACGGTATCTAGCGATCATTGAAAAAATTGCAGATTTGCACTGATTTTTCCAGAAATGTATGTTCACCTTGTAAAATTGCTACGCTGACCACGGGCTGCAGATGAGCTCCTGAACATGAATCCATGTGTTGAAGGTGATGCCCGCGGTGTGCTGTTGTTTGCTGAGAAGGAGAAGGCGTGTGATTGCGTATTTTCGTCCACTTGAGGTCCGCCTTGCACGGTAAATGTCCCATTTGGTGGACCCAAGTGGTCGGCTGGAAACTGACCGCTTTCGTCCGGAAACACGGCTACGTTGCTCCTGTTTAGCAAATAAATACTATCTTGTGGAATCTAAAGTAAGAAAAGTTACCAAAATCAATTTCGCTTAAACTATTAGATTGCCATGAGTCACTATCAACAGTTCGCAAGAGTACAGTATGAAAGTACATACAAACCTGAAACATTTGGCTCAGTCTTCTCGTATTTAGCATTTCCAGACGGATGTTGAAACTTCTTCCACCATGAGATACAGTGTAGATTTCTTCCATGATAAATGTCTTTTTTTGTATTTCTTTACGCTTAGCGGATCATTCACTGTAACAATGCAAGTGATAGCGGTGGACACGTACACATAATTATTAGGGTTCGAATTCGCCTACGTCATCAGTACGGTGATGCCAGAGCAACGCACACATCTTTGCTGTATTTGTATCTCCTTTAATACTGCAGAAAACACGCTGAAGGCAGACCACACACAAGAACCAGATATCCGGCAGTCAGTCTCTGATGCTATCTTCGAACAATTATCGGATCATCATTACGTACTATAATCTGATTATCCAATTGAAAACATCTCTGTGATCGATTGCAAATAAACTGGCAAAACCTTTTTTCAATGTCTTGAATTGTTTTGTTTTGAAACTATTTGTTTAGAACAATACTTTGTATATTTTATTGTTTTTCGCTATTGTTTCATGTGTATATATAGCTCTTCAGTTGTAATAAATTCTAAATTGCTTGAGAATGGCATCAGAGGATGTCGAAACGTCGCAAAAATGAATCTAGTTGCGTTTGTCTTTTTGATTAATCTTGAATTGTTCTTTAAAAAAAATATTTTTTCCTACTGTTATCTAGACCATTCCTAAGGTACATCAACGATGCTTCCTGTGTTTTTACTGAATAGAGTGTTATCTATAAAATGTCTGACGAGAATTGGAAAATTTAATTATCACCTTAATATGCTAGACCACAGTTATCAGAGGCAATCTGGATCTTGTACATTGGGTTCCACGGGATTTTACTTCTTTGACATAGTTAGTATTAACAATAATAGTAACAATGGTTTATCAGAACTGCTAAAATGCCAACACTATACAGTGTGCCTATGAAAAACTAAGATTATCGTCATCTTATAGTGCCAATGAACAGTGCGTGAAATCAATACACGGCAGCACTGCATGCTGTTTTTGGCAACTATTTATAAACACATTCAATGAAGATGCTCTAAAAAATTAGCGCGACGAACACGTAGAGTGTGAAGTAGCACAACTAATTCAAAAGCATATTCCGAGTCTTAATAGTGTGCACGTGGAAATGCTGTCATCAAGTCCTTTAGCAACGAGTTATATTTTTGCTTTACTTTGGTAAAAGAACAGCATAAAATGCAAGGAAATGGTTGTAAACGCAATATGTTTGTATCTATAATATATCGAATATAGTTGTATATTTCAGCATTACAAATAGAACTGAATTACTGTAGCTCATGAACGTTGCGACTGAGGATACTTTTTTCCATGCTTTCATGTCTTTTACTCTACGAAAAACTAATCCTATATAACTCATTCTTAATTGCAGAAGTTTACTTATCAACAACACAACCTCGCGTTTTGATATGTACAAATAAGTAATAAAGAATACTGACAACAAAAAAGAGAAAGGAAAAAAGATATAAAATGAATCAATTTCTCAAGATTTTTAAAAGGATCAATTATTCTCAAGAATAAAATGTAGATTAAGATGAGATTGTTTCATAAAATGCATGCCAAGGTATAGGAGATGCAACTGTAGAGTTTCACAAAGTCCCTTTTACTCCCCTATGGAACAAGGGTGGGACTCTCGCGCTCCCCGCTCCCTTTTTTTTCWTTCTCGCGCTTTTCGCTCGGAGTTCGATTCTTTCTTGTTCGGAGTCCAAAGGGAGTCCGACTTGTAATCTAATGCAACAGGTACTTTTGTAGCAACCACGATTCCGTAGCTTGCCACACATGGCATTACCTTCATATGACACCATGCTGTTACCGACTACTTTCACCGAATATTTATCTGAAAAACAGTCGCTGCGATATGAAATCAAATTATCACCTAAGAACTAATAGAAAACAGACATCATACCCATAAGGTCCTGTATAAAAAGAGCTGTGTTGGTACTGCTCCGTCCCAGACACTTCATTGTTGCTTCGCGCGATCAAAGATCAAGTTTTTTGGTAAGTAATTATTTTTCAAGTGCCAATTTTGTTCATGGTCGACGTGATTAGATGGTTTTGCAGTAGTTGCTTAAGCTTCTTAAGGCTGAACTTTGAAAACTCTACATCAAGCTTATTTTTTCATCTATTAGTCCATAAAGCAGAAAGCTCAAAATGAAATTACAAGTTCACATTCATGAGGGCGCCCAAAGAGCGATGAATATACAAGTAAGTACGCTGTTTATAACATTTGATTCACTTATAGGCATAAAGTAAAATTAGTCATTCCACTACCGAGCGTATCGTAGTTTTATCGACTCCGTATGACCTGCAAAACCTCTCTAAAGTTTTTACAACAAATAATGAAACATGTTGTCCTTCCCTCGAAAGGACTTATGTATGTGTACTCCCTTGTATTCAGTCTCACCGTTTTCTCCGCAATTTGTTTTTGTTCTAAAAGGATGAGGATTTGACATACAAAACCCTAGGAGAGCTGGGGCGACACTCTGGAAGTGCTGCCTTTTATATAAAGGTGGAGGCACACTTCCAGGGTGTCGTCGTCAACGATAAAACGGTCTTGAAAGTGGCGAGGTCCATGGATGTTCCTCGCCACTTTAACGACTTCATGATAACTATAGGTAAGTGAGTAGTCGTCCATTATATTCTCAAGTGTACTAATGATGCAATTGCCTGATATGGTACATTTCTAGTCCGAGATGCTCCACACTTTGTAGGGGAATTATCTAAACTGCGTACTTTTAGTCTCCTTGCTAGAGTGGCTTTGCTAGTAACCCTTCCCCCCTAACTTAGAAAATGTGTATGAAACTTTATCTTTTCATGACGAGAATATTAACTCTATCATTTTATTATCTATTTTATTCTAGATGATCATGATTTGAATGAAGACCACTAGGGCCACTTCTACTTTATCAGTTGCAATACTGTCGCCCTCAATAAATTGTATTGTATTGTATTGTACTAAGCTGATCGGAAAAAGCATTTGTAATAAATAAATCTTAAACTTCCAAATGCATTGATTGTCCTTTTATGTGTGCACTGGGGGGGGGGGGGGATAGGATGTGCCTAAACTGCTTTACTGTAGTGAAGTCTCACTGGTGCATCGACAACATAATAAAATCGCTAGGAAACTCAATTTAGTCAGTCCACATACAATTCAATGCAATATTACTGGTGATTGAAAAAAAAAAACAACTCAGCATGTCTAGCTAGCGTAATAAAGTCAACTTGGCCAGTTCATTTAGATGCCAAACCAAGATTGATCAGAACTCTATACTAGCTAAAATTGGCATATGGAGAAGTTAAAAGAAACACATATCAATACGATAGCTGAGATTAAAAAGTAAAAGAAACTATGATCCGTCAAAGACTATTAAAAAAATATTGCCTATAGCCGAATACAGTTTTCAAAAGTTCTAACACAACCAAACTATTGAATCAGTAATCACGAGCTTTAAATCGAAAGGGGACGACATTCACCGACGACAAGTATTTAAGGAAACCCAAGACAAGAAGTGTGGTTTTAACTATACTGTGTAGAAGCCAAGAAGTGAGAGAAGCACTTCTTCCGCACTGTCCCTTATGTAATAATCAAACTTATCTTCAACTCAGGAAAGAAAGCTTGATTACATGTAATAAAAACGCATTGTTCCTGCTACTGATGAATTTACCAAAAAACGCAGTTGCAGTAATAAAGTACATTGTTAACTGCTATTCAAAGCGTTTAGTAAGCGGAGAAAGCAAATAGAATCAAATTAATGAAAAAAAAACGACATATTGAGATGCTGGAACACTACCTGGTTTATGTCAACCCTCGAGCACTAGGGTATGGAAGTTTACGATTCTGCTGTCCTCAATATAATCAGATAATCAGTTTTTAGATATAGCACACCCACACCCCAAACCCCGGCAGGTGCTTATCTCTAGTGACCTACTGTGTAGTTTCTGGCGGTTCCCTGGAATTAAATAACACCGAGCAAATGATTTGAGATTTCACGAAAAATAACGTTTTGCTGTTTTCTAAAAACCTCGCAAAAACTGTGACTAGGGCACGAAACATGAACACGGACAAATATATGGCTTATCTATATTTGGATCCATGCTTTGACAAATTTTAAAATTAAAATTGCTTTATATCTACTKCGATCAGTTTGAAGTTGTCAAATTATAGTTTTGAAAGAAATATGATATATATCAAAGCGGACTCTCGTGTAGGTATATTATATATATGTATATGTTACACCGCGGGGCTAGTATAAAATGGCAGCTCTCGAAGAATATAAAGACATCATTGAGGAATTGGTCGCGAGGGGGAAATCCCATAGAGAAATTTCACAATTTTTGCAACAGAACTGCAACGTTGAGAGAGGAGCGTCACTGAGGAGCGTAAAGAGCCTTTGCGCAAAATATTCAATTTACAAGCCCAGGCTCAATGACAGGGAACTTCAAGAGGAAGTTGAAATAGCAATTGGAGAGGTAAATGACATCACTATTTGAATACAGAAAAAAATTAAATGTATTAAATCAGAAATAGTTTTGGCTAACACAGTATTAATTTTGAAGGTGGGTCCAACTTATGGAAGAAAAATGATGAAAGGATATCTCAAATCCAAAGGAATGGACGCCAGTGAAAGACGAGTTGGCGAGTCACTGAAGAGGCTAAATCCCACACAGAATGAGGAAAGAATGATGGTGGGTCTTCTTTTGTATTATAGCCAGACTACTCATATAGTCTTATTTCCTTTTATGAATGTTATTTTACTGTGTAAATTTAAATGTTACTTTTATTGCAACCTACCCTGTTTTAAACTAATTTAATTTGTTAATTGTGAAAGGAAATTGACAATAGCCAGTAGAATCTAACTCCAGTAGAATCTCTACTTACAAACGCTCCCGTGATTGGACAGTTCTATTTACGGACAGCTTTTCAAACCCCGTTCCTCCCATACGAACACTAAACGGACGGGGTCACTTTTAGCGATTCCGAATTGACCTTGAATTGCATTGTTTTCAATCTCCCTTAAGCGGACTCGTGTGTAGTCAAAATCGAAGATGGCATAAGGATGCCGAAACATGACTTGTTATAAACTCAAATCTGTCGTTAATTTATTACTCGGGGTTCCGCGTAGCCGCCTTACTAATAGACATTTTTTTGGTTTTTGGCTACGCGTCAACGCGTCAACACACAGGTATACCATAAGATCATTTTTGACGCGTTGACGCGTTGACTGTACCTCAAAGTGAGACCGGCTTGCTGATGATCAATTTTTTCATAATATTTATGCTGAGTACACTGTTTTTTAATTATTTTTTATTCCAGGAAGTTTTTTTTTGCTTTACGCCTTTTGATAGTATGACTATTAACTTTATTAAGGTTCAATATAGTCCAATTCTTCTCAATTCTTCGACTACAACACTYATTGTTGTCACTTCATCGTTTTAATATATTCAAGCAGAACCCCGAGTTCACGCAGCTATGCGTCTAGTTATTCAAAATTTAATCGTCATTTGCTCTTACCATCATTTAAACGAGAATATTTGACGTTAGTTAACCGTTTCAAGATCCCTTTCTATTAGACGGACATTTATACTTGCGGACAATTTTATTTGTTTCCCAAGGGTGTCCGCCTGTATTTCATCTTGTGCCAATCAAATGTGAATAATTCTACCCAAGTATGCTTACATATCTAATGTATCATACATATACACACTATATATATATATATATATATATATATGTATATGCATACAGATTGACGGACACTCAATAACACTTCTTTACTACTTTGGAGTTAGTTCTGGCCTTTGGCCTGAGGCCATTTTGGAGAACATCCCGACCGCCTTTGAAATGGTTGTCCGCTTTAATAGGGGTTTCTGCATACGGGGTTTTTACCTTCATGTTACTTTCTGTTTTAGGTTGCAAAAAATCTTAACCCGATGCCATATGTTGCGGAGTATTTTCGACACAAGCTACATATGGATCAAAATGAAAAACTAGTGATGTTTGGTGTCACCCATGTGATAGCACGCGATGGATACAGTGGAAAAATTGTATCTCATGCTTCCATGGCAACAAAGAATAACTTGCTTATTTATGATCAAGTTTTCAAGTAAATCATTATTCTCTGAAATTATTCTTTTCCAGTTTAAAAACTGATCGCAAATCTGATATCGACTTTTGTTTGTCGTACTAGGAAAGCTGTAAACATGTATGGTATGTGGGACCAAATAAGAGTTGACCACGGAAAAGAATTTTACCTTGCATTGTTTTTCCAAGAAAAAAACATGGATCTTCGGATCAACCAGTCCAGGAGTCCATACTTACAAACACAATCGAAACAAGTAGGTATTAGTAGATGTCAAATTRCGTACGAAAAGCTCGTGAACTCAAATTGAATTAAAGGCAGTCGTTGACTGCATGTGGCTAGCTGTGAGATCCGTTGAAAATGCCAAGGAAATATAATAAATTTCTTAATCGTATGAGGAAGTGGCTGATCCCATTAAAGAGTGCTCAATACACATAAAGTGTAGAGCTAGTTATATATATGATATCAAAGACGCAAGATTTTGCTGTAACTGCGAGTTTCGTGCTACGCACTCATCATGCAGACAGTATTTAATGATAATAAATTTCTTATAACGTTGAAGAAAAAATCAATGTTAAGTTAATGGATATTGTGTTTTTATATGAAGCAAACATCGGTTCATTTGAACAAAAAGGACAGTATTAGTATCCCGAATGACAGTATTTGCACTCCTAAGAGCAGTAGTATTCACGATCTCTTCTACGAAATTATATTCGTCTTCAATCGCATGCGATTCTTTGTTGACCATTCTGGCACATTGGTACAGTATAGTCGCAATACACGCTTCTTGTACTAAACGCTTGCATTGAGTCATTGTTGAGACAGCTTTTAAACGGTTCAAATGCTCAAAAAACCTAGAAATATTACGATAATGTAACCACTTTATAGATGTACAGAAAACTGTGCCTGGATATTGCAGATAATAATGGCGAAAACATGATAAAAGTGAAATAAGTAACCTTCGTTTGAGATTAAGACACACAAAGATGAAGCACATGGAGTGCAAAGGTGAAGCGAGACCGTCGATAACAAAACGTCTCGAGCGTTAAACCCATCGATGAAAGAACGGGAAAACCGATGCTATAGCAAAATTGGTTGCTAAATGCAACCAATGATTAAAGACCTTGAAGTTCGGAATTTGACAATCAGACTCCACTTCGAATCATCCCGAGGAGTCTCCCGAGCTCTTTTTTACAAAATGGAGTCCAGGCATGCGGACGCTGATGTAATTTCGGGTTACCTGTGCTGTTTACAATCACTCACGAACTCACGAACTCAACCCGATAGCTAAGTGGCTAGTCTAGCCTCTTTCAGAGGCAGCTAGCCACAAAAATCAGTTGTTTTTTTTTTCGATCTTATCATTTTTGTTTTAAATATAGAGTTTTATAAGTTTCTTGTTCCGTGCAAAACTACTGTATGTATCAGTCAGCTGACACGAAATTCGGTGGGTGAGTGGAAGAAGGACAAAGGCCAGAAATACAGCTATTATTAACAAATAATATTTCTWTAACTATGATGCATGGAGTAAAAGTTATCTGACAAAGTGTTTTATATTTTATAGAATCACACCGTTGAGCGTATTTGGCCAGAAGTAAATAAAAGACTGAACTATCCTCTTAAAAAAGCGATGATTGAACTTCAAGAGGCAGAGGCAATAAACCTAGAGAGTAATATCGATCGTTATTGCACGTCAACATTATTGCTGTCTCTTTGTCGATTAGGAATGGAGAGAGTCGTGGATGCCTGGAATAATCATAGTATACCAAGTAAGAAATTTACATGTCAAAATTGTTTGAATATCTTATAGTCAGAATTACAATTTGAAAAACTACAACTAAAAGTGACCACATTACACCTCAGTTCTTATCGATCTTCACTGGCTTCCTGTCTCCGCACGTGTCATAAGTTTAAAATTCTCCTTCTGACTTTCAAAGCTCTTCATGGCTTGAAAGATATCGTCCTTCTCGTTGCCTTCGTTCGTCTTCTCAGTACATACATACATACATACAAATTAAATCTTGCCTCTTTGATATCATATATATACATACATACAAACATAATGTACATACAGCCTTTTGCAAAAATTATGAGAATTGTCGAAATATCGAAATATCATAATATCAAGTGCATGATGGGYAATCCCGCGCGCAGCCCTTTGTCCCGAACACGCGGGTTTGCTAGAATAATTCATTGTTGACATCGAGAAAATGTTCAGAACTACGGACAAGTCCGTCGCCGCCGAAAAAAACTAAACTACAAAGACAAGGGACAAAGGGAATCGCGCGGGATTACCCATCATGCAATTGATATTATGATATTTAGATATTTCGACAATTCTCATAATTTTTGCAAAAGGCTGTACATACATACATACATACATAACTTAAAATTATCGAAAATGTAACGACAAAATTATGAAAATTATAATTAATTATAATTATAATTATTAAAATTATGAAAATGTAACGACAGAAACTACAAAAGAAACATACATCGGACTAGCCACAAACTTCAAAGAACGATACAGAAACCACAAATGCTCACTTTTAAAAAGTTTTAAAACTGTCAAAACGAAGAAACGAAACAGAACTGTCAAGGTACATCTGGAAATTAAAAGAAGAAAAGAAAGACTATAACATTAAATGGAAAATAATCAAAAAATGCCAACCTTACAACAATATAACCAAAAAATGTAATCTATGTCTAAGCGAGAAATTTATCATTATTTGTAAAAAGCACTTATGTTCCTTAAATAGACGAAACTAGACCCTGTATGCAGGGTTGACACGTACCCTTTGTTGTGCATGATGTTGTGAGATCATTAGTAAATGAGGCCTTATTAAAACCTTACTGATACAGTATAAAGAAATGATTTGATCCATCGAGCCTTGCCAAGATATATGTGATTTTTGCGATAAGCTTATATGTGGTGGCTCTTAAAATTTCAGCTGTAACTGCCTTTGTGATTCTGCAGTATAATTTTAAGGTCAGATATACCCGGAGATATATAACTAGGCATGATTTGGTTACAACGTGACGCTTTATTAACTTTTGATATGATAGTAACACAATATTTTTGCACATCTACATTAAAACTCGACATATCTATTGCAGATGTTTGAATAGCCATGGAATTAATAAGCATTTTCTAAAGAGTTGTATTGATATTCAATCATTGGAACCCAATCACTATATCGTTGCCGTTGCTTCACGAGTAGTAAGCGTGTTGATCTCTGTAGTGAGATCTCCTCGTCATCACAATTCAACATACCCTTGGTCCGAACACCCAGACAAGTAATGAGTTCCAGATTTTGGTCGTAAACCTTCATGTTCTGTTCCATATTCGTTAGTAGAGACAATATTCATCAAAATGGCGGATAAAACATTGTGCAGAACGAGTTGGAAATGTTGCGAACGGGATTATCGCGTTCGGAATACACAACGTAATGTGATTGGCTACCGGATATATAATTCACAATGTGATTGGCTACGAAGATGTACCGAAGCCAAACTTTCGACATTGTAAAAAAAAAACAGAAAAAAAAACAAGAAAGTGTCAGCATTTTACTACACGTACCCCCTGCATAGCAGGGTACGTGTAATGAATTAGCCAGCCAATGTCAACACAGAAATAGATTCACACTAAAACCATGTAACATAACTCTACCGGATGTAAACTCGATAGCGTTTTTAAACTACGAGAGCAAACCTTAACGGTCATTCATTCATTGTAACTTGCCTGACGAGTGTGGCCATCTCTGAWGACCATACGAAACCAGCTTGTAGCAATAAAACAATGAATCATTCTAGTCTTTAAGTACAATTTTATTTTTTTACATACATACATACATACATACATCCTTTATTTATACGCAAAAAAATACAACAGCCATTAGGCTGGTTTACATGCATGTTGTTTAAAAACTACAACAATTCCGTAAAATTGAGATTACACTGAATTGATAACTAAGCTTTTCTGTCCTATTTATAGGTAAAGGAATTCCAAATGAACTAGCCAGTTGTAATTGGGATCCAATCGTTGATGAAAATCGATTCCCTCCGTCAGAAATAGCTTCTGCAATGTATACGCAGGAATTAGGAACATCGTTGCACCAATTCTGTTCCTTCGCTTCCTCACCATTCCAAACCGAGGAAAAGGAAAAGGAAGTGGAAATACAATTTTCAAGGCTCATCCCAGACATGGGATGTCTGCTAAACTCAGCAATGAACAACCAATACAGCCCAATGCAAAATGCTTTGTTAACTCTAATCAATATAACAAAACATAATCTTTGATGTGTTTTCAGAACATACTAACGGGGTGGTTCGTGATTGCAAATCTTTTAGGGTTCTAATTTGGAGTTATATGTATATATCAACTGCGACAGGAAGAAAAAGACAATTTATGAAAAMTCCGTAAAAAAATCCGTAATATCCTCTATATAAATGTACATATTAACAATATAGATAAATAAACTTTCTGAAGTACGGAATGGGTATTAATGGTTTATTTCTTGAAGTGTTTCATTTCGCAAGTTGAAGAATTTGATAAATAAAAGATTGCATCGTCGTCTGTTGATTTCATTATCAAACTCATTCATAATTCATAATGTCATTAGCCAATGATATACTGAGAATCTAATCACGTGAACCTCAAATTTGGGGGCGACTTTGAATATTTTCAGGGGAGTGCGGGGCTGATTACCATTCAACGTTTTCCTGATACAGACCTAATTAATAAAACATTAGTTCTGTATCACTGATAAAGATCCGAGCTGAAGGATCTTTAGCCGTTTTGTATCGGGTGATAAAGATCGAGTAAATCGCGAGGAAACGAAACGGCAAATTGCTACAATATTGATTTTTCACTGTATTTTAATTGTGTTTGATTTCACGCGAGTTTAGACATTTTGAATATTTTCAGTGGGGTGCGGGGCTGATTATTACTCAACGTTTTCCTGATACAGACCTAATTAATAAAACATTAGTTCTGTATCACCCGATACAACACGCGCTCTCTCGTTCTGTATATATACAATATTTTGAATCAGCGTTCTAACGAACGGTCACGATAAAAGAGGGTCCAGAGAAACTCGATTTCTTTAGCGCGCTCTTTGGATTTTTTTAAAAATTTCACATACAATATTATCTATAGTAATTGAGAAAAGAGGGTCCAGTTCTGCACTAGATTGTTATTAATCTACAGTTTTTTGCATTCTTTCGTCGACATTGTCCAATTCTTACTTAATAAACAGTAGAATTAAACTGATTCACAAGATCATTGAGTTCAACAAAGCATTTAAGGTTAGCTTACACAGTAGTTGTTTTGCGATGTATTTGGGGTTATGCCGACCTGGAAAGATTGTTTTTAGGCCGGCTCCCGAGATTTTGCAAGCTTTGTCGATCATTCGATACACCTGCGATATGGTATAATTTAATAGTAGACTCAGAACTCATGCTCGACTTTTTAACGTTAGGAGATTTATACATTAAAAGTGGAAATTATTAATTTCCAAACAATTTGGTATTGATATAAAAGCTGGTAAATATATTATATTAAGTTCTCAAGCTAGTTCTCGGCTGTGTCTTTTAACCGTGGTCTATAACCGTGGTCTATAACCGTGGTCTTTTAACTTGGGAATAAATTATAAGTCATATTAATCTCCATGTTCCTTACGTTCTGTTCGGGGACTGATTGTCAATCTTACTAGTTGGATCATTATATTGAGTTCAAGAAACGTTTTGCTTAGAGTGCTTTTAGGGACGGACCAAAAACTGTGAAAAACTTAGTTAACTAAACTATTTAGGTGACGTCACATAAATTAGTAAAAGCGCGCCAAAGCAACCGTCGAGAAAATCAGGGGGAGCAGTGCATATATTTAGGTGTCTTTTAATGAATAAAAATAATTATCAATATTAATATTTATAATTATCAATATTAATAAATATTAATGAATAAAAAATCTTGAAATGTCACAAACACCAAATCCTTACCGTGGTTGCTTTACAAGTTACCATTTAGCCAACTTGCACTGAATGGGAACATATTTAGGTGAGCTGCCCCGTCCTGCACCTGCCAACTCAAATAAGCTAATCAAAATGCCAAAACTTAAAAAAACTTCATATGTGGGAACACTGATGATATACCCAAACTAGAAAAACAGGCAATMTGGCATTTCACAATAGTGCAGCTGTTTCAAGATAGATAAACGTCACCTGGAAGTAAAAGATTTAATGGTGATTGAATAAAAGCTATGGTATTTAACTGTTTAGGTGACGTCACTTAAGAAAATTCAGGTAATAAAAGCGCGCTAAATCAACCGTCGAGAAAATCATGCGGAGCTGTATTTAAGTGTGCCTTTATATTGACTATTACGTATAGTTTACAACATGAGCGGCCGTGTTGTATGGGAATTACAATCTCTTGTAATTCCCATACAACACGGACGCGAATGTTGTAAACGACTTATAAAACTCCAACATAAATTAACRTGAATTACAGTGAGATAAATGACGAAAAATGACAAATAAGGTAACTGCTGAGTTTAGTCCCTATTAAGCATGCGCAATTTACTGCAACACAGAACATTTTGAATAATTATCCATCCCACATGGAAAGCAAGCCACCTGTGTTGCTTCAAAACCTAGTGAAGGTCTATGATGCGATACTAAAACTGAGACCTTTGCTAGTGTTGGGTTGTCTCAATGGTTAGACGACCGTGTTGTAAATCTGATACAACCACTAGTGGTTGTATCAGATTTACAAGGTCAATCACCTGATTAAATGGTCAGCCCTTATTGGAGCAATAGCTTATGCATTATTAATAAGTTTTATAATAATCGATACTAG